AGTCAGAGGGCCAATAACTAAAATCAACCAATCAAAATGCTCTATTGCCGGTCAATATTCTCTAAGTATTGGACCCGGCACTGTCCCGAATGATCCTGAATGACACCGCTCTTGTGTCCCTTTGAACTTCAGTCATGTAATCAACCTCGTATTAACCAAGCTTGCTCAGGACTGTACTGGAAGAATATCGGCCCTCAGTCTTTTTTGTACAGACCTCACTGAGCTCGGTGACTGTACTGTCAAGACCTCAGGCCGATATTCTCCCAGTACGGCCCTCGCACTTGGTTAATAAGATATATATATATATTTCACATCTGAAAAATAAGACAATTGAATATCTGTACCTCCAATTGTTCAAATCCTGCCAGTGAACCAGACAATGATCCTTTTGATGTGCGGCGGTGATTGGTGTTAGAAGGGATCCGCCTATCTGTGGGAAGTCCAGCTAAACTCACAGAGCTAATAGACTGAACTTTGTTGGTCTTCAAACTCAACATATTCTGAATCAAAGTTCAGAAACAGCTGATGAATAAGGTATCATTCTGTGAAAAAAGGCAAAAGAAAGTCCATCTCAGAGCTGTTGTCAAAGCGAAGACCAGTGTATGTATGCACAGGTAGGACTAAAATAAAATAACGAGAATTTGGTTTAACGTCAAGATTTAAAAACTGCTATGAGATAAATTTGAGTATTTTCATTACCTGTTTCCTTGATAATGTATGATTATTAAAGAGGGAAGATACATTCTAATCACTTCTGGTAGTTAAAGGGTTAATATCTTGGCTACTGTTTTCATTTTCTCATGGCAAAATCAATTCATGAATATCTTTACCTGATGTGAACCCTAGGTGCCACAGGGATTTTTTTTTCTTTTTTCAGCAGTGAAACTACAAACAGTGAGCTGCAAAGCTGCGATCAATGGTGAACAAAAGATAAAAAAACCTCTAGTCAAGGCAGTTACAAGCCTCACTTCTATGTGATTTTGAAACCAAATAGCTTGCCAAAACTGGTTTTTGTTGGATCTGTTTTTTTTGTTTTTTTCTTCATAATTTGACACGTCTGTGCATGGGGCAGTAATTCTTGATCTGTTTATTTTTTGTAATTTGATATGTCTGCACGTAGGGCAGCAATTCTTGAAACAAGCATAAAATTATACTCAAGATGAAGGACGATAACTTTTCATAAACTCCAACCAAACAAGTACCATCCATATGGAGTGTAAATAATGTAAATTATATTTGTTGAGTGTGCAATTTGAATCTATTAATATTTGGACACGGAATATGGCGGCAAAGTTGAGAACAAAAGTAAAGACAGACTGGTACAGACCCCCAGTGTGGTTTTTGTGGTCATGTTGCAGAGAATATCAGGGGTTTTGTAAAAACTGTCCTCAGCAAGAGCTGATTTTGTATCAGACTCCAGTGTTCCATCAATATTTGTGTTAAAGTTTTAACTGCCAGGTAGTACAGTATGACAAAAGGCAATAATCGAATTCTCGCTCCACCACCATTGCTTTGTTTAATGATTCTTCTACCCAAAAAACCAGTTTTCACTGCTCCTGGGATGCATGAAGATCAATCAGCCACCAAGTTCAAAATCTGTTCTCATAGAAGTGAGGCTTGAGGGTTTTTTTTACACTCCCCAATGATCACGGCTTTACCATCCACTGTTAGCAATTTTGCTGCTACCCTCTGGCACCTAGAGTACCTGATGTGTGTTATGTTTCTCAAATTTTGTCACAGTTTTGACAAATGGTAACAAGACTCTGTTAGATCCAATTCTGTCTGTAATACTGTTTGTCATCGACAAATCAAACTTTTAATGACTCAGATGTCTACCCAATGAATCAGACTCACATGAGTTCTCATGCCATAATCAATACTTTGACCATACAAGGCCACAAGTTATTTGAGATGCTTCTTATGCAAGACACAAACAAAGTCTTTAAGAGAACTTGAGTGTGCCAATGATGACTGGAAAGTTCCTGTCACAGTTTATTTCAAATGTACAAACAGTCCCACTGTGTTTTGCATTATGAGTCCTAAAACTGACAGGATCCTAATGATAAAATTTCTTTTGATCTTTGGAAAATCTGAGTAAAGTTTGCACATCGCTTTATTAGTATCGTTTATCGAGAAGCTAAGATGGATTTTGGCACACTCTTCAAGTGTAGATTATAGAGATCAAACATTTGAAACAGCTTTTGTAGCTTGATAATCTGGTTTATTGAGTATTTGCAAGCGAAATGTTTGCATAAAACCAAGACATCAATTCGTGTTGACATTTTAAAAATGGGGTAGTCACAAAAAAATTAAACAAGTACCAAGATAAGATACTACAATATTATTAAACAAGTACTAAGATATGGAAGAAATCAAACGTACGCGTTAAAGTGTATTTAACTGTATTAAATGTGACACCGTCGTCTTTACAAGTAAACATGTTCTAGTTTAAGACACTTGGCAATTAAGGTCTTATCTAACTTCAATATGGCAAACAGACAATAGACAATTTTACGATCGAACAGCTGAAACTGAAAACGTTGACGAAAAATGTTACACCGAATAAAACATAGTTTCTGTTTTCATTCAATTTATCCTGTTATGTAAATCCCTTACCTCGTGTTTCGATAATTTTTCTTTAAATATTACTATGTTATTGCTTTGTTATGTTGGTCGAGTGTTGATGTGTGCAGCAAACTTAAACTCCGTCTGATCAAATTATCGTACCAAGCTTCAATATTGTAAAGAATCACGTTTATGGGCTCATTTCACGACTTTTCCCATTTCCACAACTAGACATACCTTACATTCGTCATTTTAGAACTGAAAGTGTCAGAAATCAGCTGATACACAGACAAATCTATTGCTTGTGGCTGTCTTCGAAACTTCAGCTACCCGTCCGCCATTTTGAAAAGTGCTCCTGACGTCACATGGTTGTCCACGGTTACTCTGACAACATTACAATATTATGTTAACTTTGTTTTTGTGATAAATTTGACTAGGGGAAATGTCTAACGCTAAAAGAGTTTTCAATTTGTCGCCTGTCAGTTCGCTTTTGTGAAAAATTGTGTAAATTCAGAAGAACAATAATTACTGCAATAGCATACACAAAATTCTAGATAGGGGGGCACCAAGATTGCGTAAAGTGTACAGAAAGGGGTGGAGAGTAGCCGTCGTAAACAATGCTTGTTCAACCCTCCTAACTTCTTACCACCCCTGCCATTTAAGGTTCCCGTGGATAATGTTTGGAACAATTTATCGTTAGATAACACTGCTACCCTTGATTCTACCTTGTTTTTCTCATCGCAGCTGGTAAATTTTTAGTAGTGGTGTCGGGCGGGAAAGGCTAGAAAATGTGGTCTGGTGTTGTAAACTAATGCATGTCTAATTGAATAAACATGCGTTGTGCTTAAACGGAAAAAGGTTTTTAAACTTCAAAGTAGAGTCGAGAGAAGTATGCCCAGTGACTTTTTCAGTCGAGTTCAACCACATGTGTAGGATTTTGTTGACGAACAAAAATATACGTATGATGCACGATCCTCGCAGTAGAGAGCGCTATTTAGTAGTAGCGTTATTTGGTAGAGCGCTGCACTAGTATCGCAGAGGTCAGTGGTTCGAATCCCGTACAGGCCTGATTTTTTTCAGGCCTGATTTTCGCTATTGCATAAATAGCGCTCTCTACTGCAAGGATCATGCATCATACGTATCTAATACCGCAGTTCAAAATATATGAACTTCATATGTACATTGTATCTGAACAAATATGTCTCTGGAATGATGAAAATGAGTTTCCGTATTAAGTTCAGCCAGATTTAATGACTCGTGTTCTTCGGGCTATTTGCATGACAAAAACCTACGGTCACTCACTTAAATGTTTATAAATTTCTTGCGCTTTCTCTCCAAGTTCATCGTTATCCCATTATTGACAGCGGGGATGCTATTGCTTTGAGGTCGGCCTACACTTTTGGCTACATGTAAAAAAGATGGTTGAAATGTGGGACACGCTTCTGTTACTTTAGTTCCTGCCTTGGACTCACTCAGCTATTGCTAACTCTAAATGGTGGTCTTCGTGTAGCGGCTAAAGGTTGAAGTTTACCATTACTGCCGAAAGGGAAAAATGAACGGACAGTGGAGATACCGTGTCAATCAGTTCGAACCGCTACGGGATCAGTTTCCTCTTATACTGCACCGCTTCTAACAACATGTATTGCTGTGTAAGATCGTAATTTTAAAGTTCTTCCAAATACTCCATTGATAACTTCTCATTCCTAGATTGCTCGTGTTTTATTTTAACTTTGAGTTCTGAAAAATAATTTTTTTTTCTAATGCCAATTTGGAATTTTGAGGCACCCCCTCCAAATGAGAATATTCTGTTGGTTGAGGAGCATTGGACACATTTTGTTTCCACGTATTAAAATGTCGGATCTAAAATATCTGCCAAGACGTTTGGTATTGACACGTCGGAACGAAAAAAAAAGTTAATGTAGACTTTGAACCAAGAATGAAATTAAACCAAAATATAATGTATCTAAGTTGGCTACATTTGTGAAGAGCTATTTCCTTTTGTAGACAATAGCAGTTTCCAGTTTATTTATTTAGATAAAAGTTAAGCACCTTTTTCGTTGTTGAAGACCTACCAGTTCTGTGACCGGAGGTGACTTGAAGTTATCTTTCAAAACTACCGGAGAAACAAAGAAAAGAACCTGAAAAACGCGCACAAAAAATAGTACTCGTTTATTACTGACTTTCTTTCAGGTTTGTACATTCACCGTACTCCACTTGGCCATCAAACTTTGAGGAAAAAGGTCCTCCCGCAGTATTGTTTAGCCCAAGCTGCATTCGACAAAGACATCACATTTACTCATGGATAAGGAACGGTTTATCCGATCCCCTTACGAGTTCAAACTAATGCTCTTGAGTGTTCAATGTTGGACGCACAACAGCTCAAGTTGCTGTGCACTGCGTCAGATTTTCCCAACGCCTTTGGGGGAATCAAAATCATCAAATGCCCAAGCCTCGTTGTTTTCAGGTTCAAGTTCAGTTTTAAGTTATCAAATACTCATTCACTGAACTTTAAATTTATAACCTCAAACTGCACTGCAATTATGAATGAGATTGTGGCGATCGAATTACACCTTGGAATCGTAGAAACATCCCTTAGAGGCTTAACAGTTTTAAACGACCAGATTTAGTTCTGGATTAAAAGAAATATTTAAGACCATAAGCAATTTTTGTCTTACATTCCCAAGTGCTTTGGATTTTGGAGCAAAGAAAAATTAGACGGGAATAGGGTCATGATTTTGAATATGAAAGTGAATTTGTAATCACTCCGTGCGCGTGCGTCGGTCTGTTTCTTCAGGCATCGGCAAAGTAAAAGAAACATTGTGACCTGGGTACGAGTAAACGAATGACAGCACCGTCGTCATCGCTGTCTTCGTCCTTATAGTCACTGTTGCCTAGGAAACAGATAGCGACGTGCACATTCTTGGGACTCAGTCCCATGAATAACAGCACACTTGTATTTTTTTTTTTCAATGAAAATCTTTTCATCCCTCATCCTCTGATGATGTAGAGAAGAACTTGGCAAGTTTTCTTTTCGATATAACAGACTTGTGTGTCGGTGATGCGACACCAGTTATAGTCTGATCGGCAGGGTGATATTCACGTAAGCTGTGCCACTGAGCGATAGGTTTCTTTGACGTCATAGCCTCTTTCCAGTGCTGTAGTTCCAGGCCCTCTGCGTTAGTCCCCAGGACCACGCGACCTACAACTTGATCAGGAGAACTTTCCAGCTCCTGTTTAATAAATACTTGCAAACGAATGTCTTCTAGGTTAGCATCAGCCACGTCGAATGCTAAAGCTTCGTTGTAAACTGGAAATAAGCTTCCTGTTCGTAGAGTTGTTGTTTTTCGCTTTCGTTGTCTCCTTTTGACGTTAATCATTACAACTTCAGCGTAAATGGCTAAAAATATAAGTGGACAAAGAATGACTTCGTTGGGTGCAACAGCAAAGTAAACACTTTTTTCTTCGTTATAAAATATAATGGATCTTGTTAGTGGGACCCCACTGAGAACAATTAAGGGTAAGTCACGTTTTGATTGGAAATGATAAAATTATAAGTTAGTTGATATTGGAGTAAACCTCTCAGCTTAATAATGTGGCGAGAGCGGCATTTCCAAAAAAAATGCGTCAGTCTAACCTGGGAAGCCGTCCTTGGCGGGCTTTAGATGCTGCGCCTTGAAAATAACGATCGTTAGTCGTCTGGTCAGCGGCATAAACATAAGCGAGAACAACACCTGACCGAAGCCTAAGTCACGTGGTTGATCTTTTACCTGTGGTGGACACAAACAAAAACATTTTACAAAAACAAAAATGGTTATCACACACCGCTGTTTACGAAAGCAACAGCGGTTGAGGAATTTAATTCGGGAAAGAGCTTGAACCGTGAGAGGTTGTAAAAAAAAAAGGTGTGGGCCGGTTGCTTGGTTTGCAGAATTCGCCCGGCATGTTTTTGCTTGTTCTGCCGTGATTCTCAGAATGTTTAAAATTTTTCCTTGCGGCCTCATGACAAGACTCCCAATGTTACGGTCTCTGAGGAAGCGTTATTTTGACCAAGGAGTTTGTCTCATCCGAAAGAAAAGATGTCTCGTAATATATCCCACTAGAATCATTAGAGACCGGAAAGGCTGAATCTTCTTACAACAGGGAATACAGATAAAGCTAACTACAATTAAGGAGCCGATCATTTAAATTTTTAGGGGGGTGGGTGGGGTGGTGGGTGATTTTGAAAAAAAAAATTTCCTGCAAGCGCTTGTTGGAAGAAAAAAAATGCATGCAGCCCAAATGTAACAGAAAAAATGTACGAAAAAATCGGAAAAAATATCCTGCACGCACAGCAGATTGCTAGAAAAAAAATTTCGTGATGACCAGAAATCACCCACCCCACCCCTCAAAAGTTAAATGGTCGGCCCCTAAATAGACAATTGCTAACTCCCCCCAAGGGGAAAAGCATTCGGTTAACCTTCATTGGGGAAAACATAGAATCTCTTCGCTTTTTGTGGAATCTCACGATTTTTTATCAAGGCTCACCAGATGTTCCTTTTTGAGAGGTTGATGTGTCTGCTGGCTTAACTACTCGTCATACCTGCTGTAATCTTTGTATTTCCCTACAGACGATCATCTCTTCTCGAACTGTTTCGCCACCCACCCTCTCTAAGTGATCCAGGTGATGCGTTACTTCCCCCACAGGGAAGGGCTGCGAAAATTTGTCCATGTACGTAACTGTAAAACTAAGGTTCTGCTGTTTCACCAGATCGTAAGGTAAACCAAATTCGAAAATTTCGTTTAAGTTGGGATTCGAATTTCTTTCGTGAATGTCAGTTTTGAGAATTTCTTTCTTCATGGCTGGAACTAGTTTAAGTTCAAGGAAGACATTTGGAGAGTCTCCGGCGTATTGCGGAAATTCCTCCCCTTTGATCAACTTTACAATCAACACATTCCTGAAAATTTAAGAACACAAAGACATGAGGATAGAAACAATTTTCTCTACTTTCGCACGCACATTGCTATCATTTTTACCACCACACAACGATCAAAAAATCGAAACTTGCTGGGTTTGTTTTCAATAGTACGTAATCGATTTTTACTGGAAATTATGTTCGCAAACGATCATTACTGACAGGTCACCGGAAATAACAACCAATTCATTTGAATTTAGTTGCACTTTTCATCGGCCAACCGATCATAGTGATGCTGTTATGATTTGCTTTTATCGACTGGAATCTGTGCCGATTTCAAAGGTTTCTAGCTCTGGAAAGTCTAGAAAAAGTGGTAAATGTTCGTGGAGGTAATTTAAAAAACGCAGAAAAGGGGAGCAAAATTTTGTCGACAGAAGACTTGACGATTCCAGTCCTGTTCTCTGATTGGCTAGTTGTAAGGATATCAGCAAAGAATCTAACGAGCTCGGTTCAGTTGTGATTCACAATCGCCTAGTTGGAAGCAACACAAGTGTGGTTATGATGGACTTACCGATTGGAGTCAAACTGCAGCGAAAAATACACTCGACCAAGGAAATCTGCCTCGCTCGGAGGAATAAAGCGCTTTACGGGGCCCGTGTCCGATAGATCGTAGGGCGTCATAGTTTCCTGAGTTGCTGGAGACTGGAAAGAAAGTATGATTCAAATTTTTAACGAATTAAATCGTTAACCTTAGAAATGAATTAAGCGATTTCTAGCGGCTATCTTCAACTGAGTGTCGAAAGCAATCCGGGAATGAATGGGGTATGCTTTACTTCGCTCTGTGATTGGTTGGAAAACTTGCGCCACCCTCTAAATCAATCAGGCGCGAAGTAGACCCAAGCGCGTCTTGCACATTCTCGTTTTCCCGCTCTTTATGTAGTCGGTGCGTTCTTGTTTTAGAATCTCATCGATACTTGCCTTTTCTCTGATAAGCTGTTGGGATTAGTCTGATTTCCATTTTACGACACTCAACCTCAGTGCATCAAAAACGGAGTAGAGTAGACAAAAGTTTGCAAAGTCATACGAAAAAAGATCCTTGAAATTATGTCATTACCGGCATTGGTTCTTCATCTGAACTAGAATAAGGGATTTCGTCGTCGTCTTTAATTGAGGAGTCTTGGGGCTGAACAGAAACCACACTAACTTCCGGTTTAGGGATCCACGGAGGAGGAGGCTGGGAAGGATACTGGCGAGGAGTTGGCTTCTGCTTCTTCTCTGAGGTAGCTGAGACAAAGAGGAAAAAACCCCTACAGTTGAATATCTCAAACAATCAATGAATCAGTGTGGGGATCAGTTAAGTCATCAATCAATCTATCATTCTGTCAGTCAATCAGTAAAATGAGTAGCCAGCCATGCACCAACCGTGGTTCGGTCTGTCCATGTTTTCGAATAATTTTTAGTCCGTCAGTGAGACAGTTACAAAGTCACACAACCAGACAGTCATACAGCCAGACAGTCATACAGCAAGACAGTCCCACAACCAGTCACAGAGCAAGACAGTCACACAGCCAGACAGTCACACAACCAGACAGTCATACAGCAAGACAATCACACAACCAGACAGTCACACAACCAGACAGTCATACAGCAAGACAGTCACACAACCAGAGAGTCATACAGCAAGACAGTCACACAACCAGACAGTCATACAGAAAGACAGTCAATTAGTCAGACAGACATAACTGTTAGGAGAGTGTGTTGCGTTACGGAATGGCTAAAAATAGAACTGAAGAAGTTTCTAGAACGCTTGGTCATGCTGACTCATGGACAACTTTTAAAGTAACTTTCTAGAACTCTTAGTCAGCATATGTTGTTATGATGCAATAACGATGTAATTTTACTAAAAATAGTAGTATTACAAATCCCTAGAATGTTCTAGAACATTTTGTAAAAGATATATAAGGAGTCGCGATCAGTTAAAGATAGGCCTTTTTCAGCGAGTTAATGCTGTCGTGAAGAGCCCAGGGGAGCTAGTGTTATTACGGAGCCGGACTACAGAGAGTTGTTGGAGTTATTTACTGTTATTGGAGTCGTCAGCCGTGTGGAAGGCTACGTTGGAAAAAGTATCGTGGAGGTCGACAAGTTACAAGGATCATTGAAGGGAATTGTGAGTTGTGCAGTAGTGCACTGAGATTATAGTTTTATAGAGGACTCTACGTTAAGAAGATAGTTATCGTATTAGTATTGGTATCGCTCCGTAGTAAGATTATTACGTCAGTTAATAAAGTAGTTGAGTTGGTACGAGTTGTATCTTTCTGGCGGTTGGGAAAATATCGTAACATAACAGACAGACAAACAGTCAGACAGACAGAAAGTCAGACAGTCAGACAGACACTCACACAGCCAGACGCACAGTAAGACAGACAGACAATTAGTCAAACAAACAGGCAGACACACTATAAGGCACGCAGTTAGACAAACGGTGAAATAGTCAGTCAGTCAGTTAGTCAGACAGACAGACAGACAGGCAGTCAGACATTCAGAAAGACAATCAGAGACAGCCAATCGATCAGAGAGACAATGATTTAGTCAGAAAGAGAGGCAGTCAGACAACCAGACAGACAGACAGACAGACAGAGAGACAGTCGATCAGTCAGTAAGTAAACCAGTCGATAAGTAAGTCAGTCAATCTGTCAATCAGAAAGCCATTAAGTCAGCCAGTCAGCCAGTCAGCCAGTCAGCCAGTCAGCCAGGCAATCAGACAGCTTGTAGACCAGTCAGTCAGGCAATCAGACAGCTTGTAGACCAGTCAGTCCTGTTAACTTCGTGAGTAAAAGAAACAGATACATTGTTCCCATATGACCCGCTGTATATCGATTTTCAACCTGGTTGTCACAAAAAATATATCTAGCATTGTTGCTATTGCTACGGTCAGTCATTAAACTCCTTGCCCACACGGACCTTTCTCGTCATTTTCTTCTTCATCAAGTGTTTCCTTGACCTCTGTAGCGTGTCCATTCCTTATTTCTTGAGTATTTTCGTTGGCTTCAGTTGCTGTTGGAACCTGTCTGTAGTCCAGAAACTGCTCCATGAAAGAGAGGTTCCTGAACCGCTTCCAGCACAACACAGACAGGACTCCCAGAGCCATGACTGTGACCCAGACCAGTACAGTCAACAGCAAGGGGAGAAAGTCTGTGTGACGACTCTGAAGAAGCAATCAAGAGTTATGTTTGTTTGGTAAGTTCAGTCATTCAGAAAAAAATCGAGCCACACAAATAGTCCACCAGTAAGTCAGTCTGTCGGTAAATCAGCTGCGATCAGTCAGCCAGAAATATTTCTAGACTGACAGCTACGAGGTACTGAAGTTGTTATGTCCACATGCACATGCTAAAAACTTTGCAACTTGCCGAACTAAGGCTGTTGTTATGGAAAACAAACTTTACGCTTATCTTTGTCACACCGTCACCTATGATCCTTTGTTTGTCAGTTGTTTTATTGCAACGGTTTTTCTGCTTGTTGACAGATCTTGTTTGCAGTCGTTGTTCGGAACTGCTACGCAGTTTTCTGAATTTGTTAGCTACTGCAGCGCTCAATTTCCGTTCGCGAAATATTAAAAAGGGGACATTACCTAAGAGTACAGTCGTAACATTGTTTCTTCGTTCATCTAAACTTGTATCAAAGCAATCTTTCAATCGAACGAGCAGACATTCATGGCACTCATGAATTACTTGATAACGTGCGTAATGCCTTGAAAACGTCGCCGTTACATTTCTATCAGAAACTTATTATCCAACTAATGGACATGCCACGAGTTTCAATGCAATAAATAAATCAGGTTTCTTGCAGATGCTTTGCTTGATAAAGATGTTTTGAAAGATTAACGAAGTAAACGAGATTTTAAGAAAATTCATCAAATGTGTTAATTGCATTTGCATTAATTACATTTTAAAGAAGTCGTCCATTAAGGAAGAAATTAAATTTTGTTGTGTTGTTAGTTTGCTCTAGGAAACTTTTCGAATGCGAGAATTTCTCCTCGATCAACACGCATGATCTTTCTTTTACTTCTACCAAATTTAGCTACTAATTTCTGCCACAGAGCAGACGTCAATGAACTACAACATATCAAAATTACCCCTTTTTTCGATGGTTTTCTTTAACTAAGCTTCCAAAATGAATCACGAACACTGAGAGATGTTAACATTTAACATGAAAACAGTAAAAGTGTGAAAATTTTTCGACGTTCTGTCACAAACGGGCATACTTCTTGTTTCAAAACACAAACATTATGCAAGTAGTTAACAGTTTACAATCGATTCATTGATAATAAAAGCTGTTAGAGTTTTCGCAGAAGTCCTCTATATTCCCTAGAAATATTAAAAGATAAACATAATTGTTACCAGCAGCCATGATGTGAGTGTTATTAGCGTTTTAAACATACGTACAAGATAAGCATATATATATACATAAATTTGTAACAGATGTCCACAATTAGAACAAGAAAACTAATGCATACCATGATTAACGATTTATCCTAATTTCATGACAGTCTTAAGAGAACTGAAAATCTTCTAAGCAAGGTGACATTTCAACATTGCCTCTGATTTTGAGCCAAATTGGGAAGAGAATGTGTTTCCGAGCCAATAAAAGATAACAACTTCCCTTTGACGTGCATGAAACACTGGTTTATACCAAAGATGACCTTTCCGATGTCAAAGGCAAAACACATCTAGTTTATATTGCAACACGATATTTGTCACTATAATTTACGCAGATCTCAATAACTTCCAGACAGTTTTTTACGGCCGAGATATGGCTGAGATTGAAAATGCAAATAAAAAATAAAAACCGCCGAAGCGAAATCCATTAAAATGGGATTTAAATCACGCTTATGTTACCGCGAAAAACTAGAAAATTGTAATTAAATCGTGACGATGTGAGTGAATTTTATTAAAATGCTTGTGAGTGTCTGTTCTAACTTCAAAGTGAGCTTCCAAATAGTTAATTGAGATAATGGAAATAATAGATATTGTTTAATACCAGAAATATTACAGATTGTGGAGGGAGATAAAGCGCCATATTCCACTGAAGTGGTCGGAAACTTCAAGGGATTATTGCCCAAAAAAAATTCTTTGAAAATAATAGACAGAACATGGTCACGGCTTGAGTGTTGCTTTCAAGGAGAAAAATCATGTTGAAACATAGGGGGTGATTTTCGTCAAATTAAGTATCATAACCGATCTCTTTCTTAGAACCCTATGTGGGAAATGAATACACGATAAAAGTGATGAATTGCGTAAGGCTGGATACATTGTTTCAGATTTCGAAAAATGGCTCCTACAGGGACATTGATTTGAATAATGAATTTAGGAAACTCATTTCAGCGTTTTTGCCACAATTACTAAAAATTGAGGATGCATCAGTGAAAATCGATAATATCATGTCGTCGAGGGAAAGCCATTAGCTTTTCTTATCATGCTGAAGATAACTAATTTATAAACGACAAAACACACTGGAAACCAATCTCTTGAAACCATTTTCTACTTTTTGCTCGATGCATGATCCGCGCGGAGTTACATGTAGACAAAATAATCTTCGTGTTGATCTTTCGTTGAATCATATTAGGATTATTCTATCAATTTTTCTAAATAATTCAGAGACAAATTCTTTTAATTACGATGATACTAAAAACTTTTTGTACTTTTAGCAGGTAGCGTTCTCACACAGATAAGCTTTAGCTAGTTATGCAGAAATTTTGACATACCGCATCCCGTAATGCTTTTCGATTTTTTCTTGCATTTGCGACTGTATATACTTCGCAAAATCGCGATGTGAGATTTTTAAACAAGAGAGCATTCTCAACTTATCGTGGTTTTTTATCAAATACAAAACCGACCGAGTGAGAGAAATTAATATTTCAATTAGGGTTGCTATTTAAAGATTGACCATGTAAATCTCTCTCGCATCTCGTTTTTATTTTGTTCTCCAATTTACATTAACGCGTAAGTTAATTCATTTTATTTTCAGATTTTTTCGCTTTCGCAGATTATCAAGATTTCTAATTTTTTTAAAATTTAGTCAATGAACAACTTTAACATTTATTCGATGGAGATTTATCCCGACAGATCACGAAAAACATCGATTTGCTGGAAAACGGAGCTTTCTTTTTTGACTTCATGCTAAGATCACCGCAGGCATTCACTTTCAATCAAACACCATTCGCAAAATTGCATTCTTCGTTGAAACGCTTTCGGCGAAACAACCACAGAAATAATTCGAAACAAATTGTCCGGAAGAAAACCATGAAATTATAAACACCGAGAAAAGATCTATTGTTACTTTGACTGAGAACCAATGCAAAACATATGTAACTTTCCAAGTTTTAAGATGAATACTTTAAACCAATGTAAATAATTTTCCCTTGGTACTCACCAATTCAGATCGTTATAGAAGCTTGTAAACTCGGACTTTGACAAGGAAATCCCAAAATAGACGCTTTTTTAATTCGCGAAGCTGCCCTCCAGCTTAGCGCAAACAAGATTTTCGAGGAATCTTTCTTGTTGATTACCGCAAAATTATCTTGTTCTGTGTGACAGTCTGCGCATGCGTTCATCTTGGGTGGAAGAAAACAACAAAAAGTTCATTGCTTCCTTACTAATTTTGATAAAACTTGATAATGTACGCACGCGTTTCATTTAAAAGCTAAAAATGGCTATCCATGGGCTCCTTTGTTTTGAAATTTCTTTGGGTAAATTCTGAAGACCACCTAGAGAACTCAGGTTGGGGCAGTGGGAAATGAAAATATTTTGACAAACACGAAAAGAAAATTTCCTTAGGAAACAAATTGACGTCCGGAACTAGGAATGCTAATGTGATTTTAGAAAAGACGTGGGTCTATTTTTAATCCTGTCGCCATAGCATTAGCTGGACAGCACGGAAAGTATTTGCCATAATTCAAGCGCGATATTGATTAACAAACTGCATTTGCCCATTCGAAAGGTACATTTTTCTTTGATCTTGATTTCAGTTTCATTAAATATTTGAGAAGTAAAACAAATATGTAGACCATAACATCTACGCTTTAAACCGAAAAATATGAAGATTAAAAAAGTCATATCTTCTTTTTCGTCAATGGAAAAATATAAGGCCGTGAAGACTTGTTGAAAAACAAGCGATGGCAAGCGAAATGCGAGCGAAAGTAAAATTATGTTGACGAATAGCAAACGCTTTATGCTTTATTTTCTAAGGTGCCACAATATTGATTTTGACTGATTCATTTAAGATTTCTTTTACTTTAAAAGAAAGTCTCATATTTCTCATGTTTAAACATTAGTATAATTTGCGCCATATTTCGGTACGTTTTGGCTTGGTCAGGAATTGTGTAAACTAATTTGGAGTAAACCGAGTTATAAGAGTTTTCATTTTAAAGTCGGTATATGCAAATTTTTCAACAAGAATAATGAAGGAAACTCAGAAAAAACATTCACATTACCTCGAGTCTAATGGTCCAAGATTCTTTTCCGCCATAACTACAACAGAATCCACTCTATGTTAATTCGAATTTCGCTTCGACGTTAGCCGCTGCGGCGCCGAAAAGCGATGAAAAAACAGCAATAAGAAACCCGCTAAAATATGTATTGTATCGTGGAAGCCATCTACTCCCCTTTCACTGCAACATTGGAAAAATCAGGCCAGCGGTACAACAGATTCATCAGGGCTATAAAAATGTTTTACGGGCTGGACATAAAAACCGCGAGATTGCATAAATTCTCCTCTGCTGTGAACTTTTTCAATGGCTTCCTTTGAATGGTCGGTGATTAAGGAGAAATACAAATGAACGAAGAGCGAATAAGATTTATCTCTTTCTTATGTCCTTTCAATTGACCGATGGACAGTGTTTTGTGTTATCTGCAACCCACGCCAAATGTACTAAACAAACAAAGCCCCACAGTAGGCCTGCTCACACGTCTCAACAACGTTGTCAATTATTGATTATTTCACACGAGCCAGCTGCCTTTTAAAAGTCGTGTTTCGCTCACAATTTTACTACTTCAATGTCATTTTCTCTTCCCCGGCCCAACGTTCAAAAAGTACTGTAATAAACAAAAATCTGCGGATTATTTCGTTTCCGTGCCGCGGATAAGCCAATCTCCCAATACAGAAGCTTATTTATTTGCTTACTGATAACACTTTTAATAAAAGAGGTATTTTCTCAAAATTTATGTAAATTGACACTTGCCAAAAACACGGCATGAATTCTTGACGAAGGGGGATTACTTTTCAAAATCATTAATTAAGTAACCTTTGACATGTTTCTTCACCCGGCACGAGAATTAAATTAAGTTTTCGATTCGTGACGTAGCGCTGTCATTTACATGTGAACCCCGCAGATACAAGATTTCTTCCTGTCTAGTTACCAGGTCTCTTTCGTTTGCAAGCGTTTATGGATATATTTGTGCCGACTACATGAAGATGAATTTTGATACGAGCGTCTAGCAGAGGGGAGGTGACATTAATGGTCTGTGCAGATTACAGCAAAGCATTCGACACTGTCCAATTCAAGTCTATCCTCACCAAAATGCATAACCTTGTTTCTCTAAGGATTTCTTACTATGGATGGTTGATTATCTTACGGATCGAAGACAGTTGGTGCAAATAGATGATAGAAATGGATGATAGATGATAGACATGGCTACAGTTGAATTTGGCGTCCCGCAGGGCTCCATTCTTGGTCCAGTAATTTTTAATCTCTACGTTGCTGATCTTCAGAAGGAATTACACTGCGATTGTTATCAATATGCTGACGATACGACTTTCTATGTCCACTCGAGGCCCTGCGACTTGGACTCCTCAGCAGCCCAAATAAATAAAACCATCACAAGCTTCAAGAACTATTCCACTAACTGTAATCTGGCTTTGAACCCAGCTAAGACACCCTGGATGCTTATCTCCACACCTCAGATGTCACGCTATCATAGTTTAGAGGAACGGGACCTTCCTATTGTTTGCGGGGACTCAGCGCTAAAGAGCATTTCTTGTACCAAGTTATTGAGTGTCCACATGGATCAACATCTCTCATGGAAAACACATGTAGATTCTCTGTTAAGCTTGTCATATGGGACTCTCTCCATTCTGCGTAGGCTCAAAAATCTAGCGCCATTCCACGTTAGAAAACATCTCGCAGAAGGCCTAGTTCTCTCAAAGCTGAACTATGCTTGCACGGTATTTCATCCCTTGCCTGTTTATCTAGAAAAGCGTCTCCAACGTCTACAGAATGCGTGTGCTGGCTTTTGTCACAAGAAAATTTGCAGGTCTTCAGGATCTTATTAAGTTAAACTGGTTACCAGTTAAAGAAAACGTTGAATTCAATATTCTCAAACTCGCTCAGAAATCATTGTACGACAATAATCGCTTTCCTGAGTATCTGAAACTGACTCTCCATGAAGTAACTGCTTATAATTTAAGATCATCAACAGCACCCGTATTTTTTACTCCTAGAGAATCAGGAACTTTCCAGCACTCGGCGGCAACGTTGTTCGATAGACTCCCGATAGCAACAAGAAACATTTTAGAACATAATGTCTTTTGCCGTAGTGCTCAGAAACATTTGTTTGCTAAATATCGGTCTTGAATCCACATGATATGTTTTGTATATTTTAATATCTCACGATAAGTTACATTGATTAACTTTATTATTGTTACTATACTTTTAATTAGTTACTACATATATATATATATTTAGATTAGATTAGTAATTGTTACAGAAGAAGAGCCTCTTAATTGTTGGAATCTGTAATAAATCAATAAATTAAAAATTAAAATTAAATTAAATTAAAATTTTGTCGTTTGGCGCATTTCGATCCAGCCGAAGTAATCCAACCAGTAAGAAGTAAGGAAAGACGCGGGAAACCGTGCGAGTGACTAAGGGCGCTTTCCATTTGACCAAAATTTTCGAGATTTCCGGTCTGAAATTGAATGGAACGGGAAAAGTTCCGGGATAAGTTTTCGAAAATTTAGGAATACGTTTTGAGTGTACCCTCTTGGATGCGGTCGGACGCGTTCCATTCGACCAGCGAAAATACCGACATTTTGAACCGGTGATATTTTTTTGATGGAAAGCGCCCTAAGTCGTTATCGGTTTAAAATTGAATCTGATCGGTTGAGAGAGAGGCAGGAGTTTTTTTTAGACCAATCATAAGGCGAAGGGAAGGAAAACAGTAACAAAACTCGGGGCGCTTTCCATTTGACCAAAATTTTCGAGATTTCCGGTCTCAAATCGAATGGAACGGGAAAAGTTCCGGGATAAGTTTTCGAACATTTAGGAATACGTTTTGAGTGTGCCCTCTTAGATACGGTCGGACGCGTTCCATTCGGCCAGCGAAAATACCGACATATTGAACCCGTGATTTTTGTTGAATGGAAAGCCCCCTAGATTTCTAACGCTCATGAAGAAATTTCTTTGTGATTAATTACATCCTACAACGAAAGTAGAGGTTGTAAAGTAACAATAATGTCAAATAAGGAGTCATTAATTGAGGAAGCTTTTACCAACTATAAACCCTTTGAAAGTCAATCCAATCCTCTTTAGATTCTCCTTGTCTCAAGAATTTCAAGTGAGGAAATGTCAACACTGAAACAACATAAAAACCAACCAAAATATTATCTTTGACGTTCAGTTTTGTAACCCTTTAGTAAATTATTGAGAAAGCACTGAAACGCTTGCCAAGTATATCACAGACTTACAATAATCATGTATAAACACTAAAGCAAGAACTATTTTGTATCAAAGCACTTTTTATTGATCAACTTACAAAAAGCCGCAAGCTCGTACCAAGACTCTTTCTTCTTCAATTCGTGGATCTCGAGATCTTGCCACACGAAGGGAAACGAGCACTGGAAATGAGGCTGTTTCCCCGCATGGAAATGCGGTTTTATAAACAAAAATAAAATTACGTCTAGTTTGTACTTAAAATAAATGTATAACGGAAATATAAATGACTGTAAAATTCGTTCTCAAAAAGACTCAGTAAAAGCTGAGTTAGCCGTTATCCTTCGCTGCAGTTTGACATTTTGGAATTTCAAAAATACCAAAAAAGCCCTTAAAAAATCCGAAACATCATTCCTATATCCATTAATTCCAAGAAAGATCACTGTTATTGCAATCACCTTCCCTTCCATCCTGAAGTTGACATATCAGTGATAATTATAAAAGGACGAGAAAGTTATATTATTTTTCAACCTTCAAAGGTAGATGCCTGTTAATAAAGACATACCTTTTGAATGTTTGTCACTTAGTTCTTCATGATTCGCAGGTATTTTGTAATTTGAGGCCTTCTTAAGTAGCAAACTACCGACGTAAATTTTTTACCACATTATAAAGAAAACTAAGGAAATAAATTTCCCTTCGTGGCTTTATCTTGTGTGTTATTGTATTAGTGGCTATGCTTTACCCACATATTACACTAACTACAAATGCCCTAATATACCCTAATCACCCATGATCTATATATTTCTGAAAGAAATTTGTGTTTTAGCTATAGTAGCAGATCCGGCGGGTACGAGAACCCCTCTGTGACATCCGGGATTTTTAATACTTGTATGAAGCCCAAACTTCTGCAATGACAGGATTGCATAAAACTGGATAATTTGAAGCGTTTCAAATTTACCAAGAGAAAATTATAATTTTCTCTTTAATTTGTTTCATTCTAAATATTTCTTGGAAAAAAAAAAGTGTGTTTTCTAAATCAAAGCTTTGACCCTTGTCAGCAATCCTGACCCCTCCTCCCCCTGATTTAGTAACAGCGGGTATACTAACTCATAACTCGTTTTCTCGGCCTTAGTTGAACTGCGAAGCCTGAGAACTAGTATCAGAAGTGAAGACCCAGGATGTTACGTGATCGAGGTAAAATACACAGAGGTGAATCAGCTGACATAAGGTAATAATGTTTAGTAATCACTAGCATGAGAACCTAAGATCCAATGTCCTCTTGTTACTGATGAGGATAATTATGAATGCTTGACGAGAAAACCTTGCATAAATAAAGCATAAAATCGATCATTCAAGACTTCACTGAGTGACAATAACACAGCACTTTCCTTTCCTCAGCTTCTTGTCGATCATTTTCAACAGATGATACTGTAAGCATTTTCAAATCTTCAAGACGCCTTTTGCTTCGTTGGCGTCTTGCTCCTTCGACCACTCTTCTCCTCTTCCAAAGAGTGCCATTTAGCAACAGATGAAGAAGAGGTCAACATGGCATTCCAGTGATCTACAGCTTCGTCGTTCGCCGTCGCTCCGATCGTGATCTTTCCTAGCAACCGCTTCTTTCCTCGCTCAGAGAAGTGCTTCACTTGAAGCAGAACTGCCACTTTGTGGAGGATTCGGTACGGGATGGCAAAACTAAATGCTTCGTTCCACACCGGGGGGACGTCATGTTTTTTCACTAACGTGTTACGCTTCTTAAGCTTTTTATCACCCATCTTTATATACACTTTAACCAGTGGATCTGAATGAAGAACACAGAATTAATATTATGTCAATTATGGGCTTAAGTTTTTTCAGCATTGTGCCGGACCCTGTCCCTCTATACCTTAAAATCAGTATACAGTGAAACTTTTTGCATGTTTCGTGTTTCACGTTGATATGATGGAGTTGGAATTATTAAATCCATCAAATCCTTTCTTCCTAGCATCAGTATGCATATTCTCCATAGTGGCCTCTATGCATTTCCTAAGTTTCTGACAAGGAGAATTTGTTTAACAATCACGAGCTTCTTTAGTTGGTGATCTCATGACTTTAATCTCGAGACGTTAATGTTTGATTCCAGGTTGATGTTGCCACGGAAACTAGGTGCTTGTCACTCTGAAGGGTTAAAGACAATCTCGTTTCCAAGGCCTTTTCCCTTAGCTGGGGATGGGGCGGGAAAAGGCCACCCCCAACTCCACCCCCAACGAAGGGAAAAGGCCCTGGGAACGAGGTTGGGTTAAGGGATTAAAACTTTCCTATCAGCAGGGGTTTCATTAAGGGCCAGGCACCGGGCAAATTGACCGGTTGTGAGGATGGCTTTGCCCACCTGATTTGACTATCTCGAGGAAAGTTTATCTTATAAAGAAGTTCAGTTCAAAGAGTTTTGCCCGCCTGTGAAAACCAGTTGCCCTCCTGCAGAAAACATTAACGAAAGCCCTGTATCAGATGAGTGTTTTAGCCGTTACACACGACTTCGTCAAACAGCAGTTTAAAAGGATGAGTTTGCTGTTTCAAAATTTTTCGCCCGAGAAGTTCACTCCACCGAATTTCCTGACTCATGTCCAAACTGTCAACTGTGCATCATCAAATCGTTCTTCATTGTCCTTTATATTATGACCAAAAATTCTACTCTAAAACTTCGTGAAGTGTTCTACTCACCAGGTTTCTTATTTTTGCTGATTTGCCTTAAATCCCTCGCTTTCATCACGATTACTGTAAGTTTCTCAGATGTTTTGAGATATGCTAGGGACACTAGCAACGCAGGCCCCGGCATGTCTGATTCCACGTCACGAGAGAATGTGACCGAGGGGCGATGTGAGGAGACTGTTTCTACTGCCTGTTCCTTTACCTATAGAAGAATATTCAGGAGGAAATATCCATGAAATGCAGAGTAACTGCGGTTGTTCATAGCTCGATGATTTATGGCACGGTAATGGTTCAGTAATAAAGCTACAGAATGGATAAGAAAACCAACCTGGGAAGTATCCGGCTCCTCGTCTTCGACCTCCTTTTTCTCCTCATCCTCTTCTTCTTCTTCTTCTTCTTCTACCTCCTCCTGTTCCTCTTGTTCTTCTTCTTCTTTCGTCTCTTTTTCTTCCGCTTCTACAGTATCCCGTGCATCCTCGAAATCATCTGTCCCTGTCCCTGTTCCTGTTCCCGTAGTAGATACCAGTGTCTCGCCCTCAGTATCGATCTTTTCTGGCGGCGGACGTCTGGGTTTGAGTTTGATGACGTCACGGAGGATCGTGATCTCAGTATCGGATAATAAATTTTTCATCGCAACGCTGACCAGAGGAACCGTGACAAATCCTATCAGTGTTGGGGGAGGGGGTGGTGGAGGCGGGGGTGGGGGTGGAGGTGGCTCATTTTTCTTCTTTTTCTTCTTCTTATCGTCCTCTGGGGGTGGCGGTGGGGGTGGAGGCTCCGGTATATTGGTTATCATCATGTCTATCACTTTGAACGTCAGTGTCTGGTTTCCAAGGTCGTTGACGGGAATTTCGAACCGGAAACTCTCATACATGTGTGGATCACACGTGGTATGATACACTTCAGACTTGATTTTACCTTCGTGACCGTACTTGATTTCGAACTCGACGACAGGATCCGGTGGTTTGCCCGTGGATGGACGCAAAGGAAGGTCACCAAGACGAATTAAAGTCAATGTTAGGGTGGAGCTAAGAAGCAACAAGCCAGTATTTATTAACTCTTTCGCTCCCACGATCTCAATATCATAATCAAGGTTTACATTAACATTAGCCAATGAGCACTCAGAGTAAAAACAGGTAAACTATCAAAAGCGCGGGCGACAAGTCATGACTAGTTTTGGTTTTACATCCGATTGGCTAAGAGGATGGCGCAAATTTTGTGGGCCAATCAGAGACCAGGGTTCTTGCACTTAGTCAGGAACCGAATTCAAGGATTTTCAAGGACTTTTAAGGTCATTTTCAAGGACCATGGCTCTCAAATTCAGGGACTTTTTTTGCATTAAATAGAGCTAAGAGAAATAAATAAAACATTTCTCGGACGGGGGATTTGAAAGAAAAACTCGTTTTCGCGATTTGTGCTAAAAACTTACACTTTCAACACCAAAAAGAAAAGAAATCTTCGACTTTGATTCATCTGCACTTCTTTTCAAGGACTTTTCATAAATTTTTAAGGACCTGAGACTAAATTCAAGGGTTTTCAGGTCCTTAGAAACAAAAAATTAAATTCAAGGACTTTCAAGCACTTTCAAGGAGCGCGGGAACCCTCACAGACTAAATTAATGCCAAATCAAAACAATCACCGATTACTTTCGACACTCCGAAGGTGTAGTCTGATCGTCCGGGTGAGTGTAGTCCTGAGAAGGACTGTTGTCGGTGGCAGTGACTGACGTTTCGACAACCTGTCCGGAAGTCATCATCAGAGTCAAGTGAATGATTGTTGTCAGTAGATTGTTGTTCTACTGACAACAATCATTCACTTGACTCTGATGATGACTTCCGCACAGGTTGTCGAAACGTCAGTCACTGCCACCGACAACAGTCCTTCTCAGGACTACACTCACCCGGACGATCAGACTACACCTTCACATGTTACCCCCGGGTTTAAACCATTTACTGCATTTCGACACTCCATTGAAAATTGCTCTATATATTACATTGTCTATTTTAGCTTTGTACTAAACAACCACAGAACACTTTATGTTAAACCGTGGTAACCACTAAACCTTACCTTAGCTGATAATAATGTAATGTAAATTCCAAACATCCTTTCCTTTCTATTGTTTCCTCCTAAGAATCAAGCGATTAAACCAAAGTAAGACACAGCCATATGCAAAACAAAAATGTCGAAAGTTCATTGTAGGAAGCTGAGATACTAAATTAATGATCTGATTATATTTCCAAAAATAAGATACAGTTAAGCCTCGCTTTCCAACCTCGTTCCCAGGGCCTTTTCCCTTAGTTTAGGGTGGGCCCCGCCCCACCCCCAGCTGAGGGAAAAGTCCCTGGGAACGAGGTTGGCCGCTTTCGGCACAGCCCTTTTAAGGGGACATCTCAATTCAAGAAATACAAACTTTAATCCTGACCGTAGAATTGCTCCTTTAAACAATACATTAACAATCCTCATGTAAGAGACTGGGTCTTTGGTTTATATTCAAAGCTGTTATTATTAAAAAAAAAAATATATGAAATATTTTCAAACCAACCGAAGTGGATTTGTCCTCAACTATTATCACGTGACTCACCGGTGGTATAACCGAGGTGGAACTAAGATCCATGTCCAGGCTATTCAGTAGATAGTCATCTTGCTCCTCCTCTCTAAGCGGGGGATATACATCGTCAGGAGACCTGGGAACAAAAATCAGGTTCTGCATTTTGTTTTGTGAACCACGATGAGGTGAGTGGGTGGTTTGGTCGGTAGGGGAGGGGACGGCAAGCATCAAATAGCGACAAGTGTTGTCTTGAAATTCATGGAGCCTGCGCCGTTTTTTAACCCAGGGTTGATAGGTAACATGGTGGCGCGAGAACATCGGTAACGTACTCGCCTGCGCTTGGTTTTGCCATTGGTTCGTTCTTACTGCACATTGACGTCATTTGTGACCTATCACTGAACAGACGCAGGGTAATATTGAATCTGTTTGTTAATGTTATATATGCAAAAATATAGAAACAAGAACTATGAGCTCTTTAGAACCGTATGGGTCATTCGTTCATTAACATTTCCACAGAAATCCCAAACGACGCGAGACCGATACCTGATTGGTCGTCTTGTTTCAGGCTGCACAGGAATGCTGTCAAAATCCACCACAGACTCATCCTGAATCAAGACAAAGGACTCAGAATCCACGTGGGCGAATCGGCGCGATTTGGTATTGGTAGTGACCTTAGCAGCAGCCGTCTTCTCTTTGTCCTTTTTCCCTTTTTTACTCCGGTACGAATAATAAATACCAGAGGCTGCTACAGTGGCGATCATAACACCACCGGTGATACCGAGAATTATTAAAATAAGAATTTCCATTGAGCTATAGTCTGCAAGAAGAAAGGGAAATATTACGTTTATCCAAAGCTAATCGATGGAAGAATTATGTTTCGAAGGGGCCGGAAGAAGGATGGTTTGGGAAATTGTCATCTTCAGGTTGCACTTTTTTTTTCGATCTCGAGCTCGCGCAATTGTTTTTGTTGTGGCAGTTTTGTTTTTTTCCTTCGGTCAAGTACAAAAGCTAGATATCACAAAAAACTTCCTAAGTTTTTTCCCGGAGGAAGTACAAATTTTCTGATGATATGCAAGATTCGCCATTACCTTCCCACCCCCCACCCTGCAAGGTGAAGCAAACTGTTCGCTTTTCCAATCATCAGCAAATCAAGAGACCGGTTGTTCTTTATCCCGGGGGCGGAGAACTGTCGAAGGATTTTGATTGGGTCGTGATAAGGCTCTGTAGAATTCATATGATACCCCTTCACTGCCAATCAATTTTCGATATTCCCCTTTTAAAACTCTGTTAGCAACGACTTATCTCCCCTCTCTCCCCATGAAAATCATTTGATCCTCCTAAAATCCTCTGAAGGCCCCTTCCGGGCGATAACCAATGACATGGTCACATTTATTCACTATTGTGACTGTTGGTGAAGAGTATATCTGATATAGACGATCACTCACGTCCATACGCCACTCGCGCACCATTCACGCGCCACTCGCGCGCTCTTCGCGCGCGTTTAATGCCACGCAATAAGGATGCGCAAGGTAATGCTTACAAGTTACTTAAATGTACAGCGTGGTTGAAATTCGATTAAAAGGAATGTAACTTTGTAGCTAGGGAAGGAAAAAAGGGCTATATAATGTTGTGCTACGCGTCCAATGTACACACAGGAACTATGACCTAAGATAGTGAACTGCTTGGCGAAGTCTGCCGGCTTATCTTCAAATCCATTTTCATAGGAAAAATCTTCTTTCGTTCCAATCCAAGGGAAGTTGTGGTTGATTTGCCATCTTTACAATAAATACTTATAACCAGATATCGCGGGATTTACTCCACGAATGAATTCAGCTTGGCAACCCTTGCAAAACCAACTTTTTTAAAAATATCATTCGCAAAAACAATGGTGACCAATAATAAGAACGTAACGATTTCTACAAGAAGAAACAATTTATGGTAAAATTTGTGTTCTCGTTCAGCTATTTCTAATAACACGTTTACGAGAGTATTTTCCAAATACTGAAAACTCTATCTGAACTATCTGTATTCTAGAAGGTGAAGTTGCTGAGAATATGTTTAAAATGTTTTATTTACACTGTATTCGTTCAAGCGATCGCGAAAGAATCGAACAATCTTACAAATAAAAAATTTAGCAGTTAACGCAATATTCTAACTGTTTCTCTGTCTGCCACTGCTTCGAAACGACGAAGCTGTAAAGCTCACCTTGAAGACAAAGTCCCTGTCTGTAAGCGATGCAAGAGTCCCTGTTTCAAGACATCCTCGCAGAAATTTTCGGTATCTAGACATCAAGCAACTGAATCGTGATAATCGAGGACTTCCGCTGATGCACTCGCTGCGAAAGTTTTAAATTAATCACAAAGTCCTTCTACCTAAGGGCTAAACATTTCTCAAAATAAGACTTGTGTGATCCTATCGAAATGAAATAGTTTCCCGTTAATTACAGTCTAGTTCTTTGACTATCGTTGTATATGTCGCAACAGCCTCCACAAACATGAAGATTCATTTATCGAAAACTGATCCGATATGAAAATAACAACATCTCCATTGTTTTTGGAAAATGAATTGTATTGATAATTCTGTCTCTTTTAATTAAGATTTATTTATTTCTGCATGGAGCTGGGATGAAAGAACGGTCAATATTTTCAAAACAAATTTTACCTTAAAATAATTGACAGGGTAAGAAAATTTACGCAAGAATCTTCAGATTGAAATAAAAAAAGCTCTTTTACACTTTCGTAATTGTTGAACATGCGCTGGTTATTCTGTAAATTTCTCTTTCTGATTTTGAATTGAAGTGCCGGGGGTAATTCACGTTCGATAATCCGTAAACAATTTTTTTTAATTATTTCGTTAACACCAGAAACAAATAAATATCTCTACTGGAACACTGGACGTTTATGATAAAACGAACAACATAGGGTTCTTATGATATTTATTGAAACGTTGATGGAAAAGAGGACGATTTTCGATCTCTTAAAATAGATTTTTTAATCTCGAAAAGGAAATCATTTCTTTAAGTGTTTTTTCATTTAATTTCCTCTATACACTCTAGATTATCTAGCGACTTATCTATCCAAAAGGGTTTTCTTCGCATGGCTGCGCATTTAAAATTTAGTCAACTGCTTTATTTTTCCGAACGGAGCCTGACAGAACCAACCCGAGACGCAAACTTTCAGAATATCGCCCTTCTCTCTAGACGAAATGAACATGCTGAGCTATTAATTTAACAAAAGTACATTATCAAACCATCTGAACTTTTTATCTTAATTATCTGAGGCTCTATTGTAAAAAAGAAAATGGCTTGTGGAAAAATATGCGCTGAATTTCGACGAATCAAGTTTTTGCAGACGCTATGGATAAAGGAAAAACAAATTTGGCAAGGCTTCCCCTTTAAAAGGAAGTGTTGAAATAGAAACCATTATATTTGTCTGTTTGATCATTTGTGCCAACTTCACGAAGAAAAATCCAGTTAAATGAATTTAAATTTAACAGTAGCATTGATTACGTTTGCATAACAAGTACACTTACGACAAAAACGAAAATCTCAGATCACTGTTCAGCGTCAAATTAAAAACCAAAGCTTTCAGTGTCCACCATAGAAAAATCCGAACAGGTTGCAATGTTACCACTGCATACTTAATGTATCATTAAAATTTAAAGCGATTGTATATGTTATAAAAGAACATTTCGAATATCCCACCGTTGAGTATTTGTTTCAAGGGGAAAAATAGTTTTAAATAGGTCGTCAAAAACAGGAAGAAGAAAAAAACAAGTCCTTCAGAAAACTCTCGACGACCGAATACGTTTTTCTTAGAGAAACAGACTTTTTCATTACAAATATACAGTAACTTAAGTTTCCAATAAGGTTTTTTACGTAAGGGAACTCTCTTCCATATGCACGCCTAAACTTTTTTTTTCTTACAGCCAAGACATCTGATTACAAATGTGCTCTTTCATTCTCCATTTTCGTGTTTATAGACAGGTTCAAAAGAGGATTATCCTCTCTTGACATGTTTAAATGCAATCTTTAACCGCTTTACAGAGAACAATTACAAACCATAGGCCATGTACTGCGCATGCTCAAGTAAATGTATGAAAAAAATGGGGTTTCGAGGCCAGTGGTGTGCGAACCTTCCTACAGCGTGACAAAGAAATCAGATTGTGAGGGCTACTGTCGCTTTCATTTTCTTTTGTAACCTTGGAGGAGACTGAAACTTAGCGAGGGCCGTACTCCCCGAAATCGGGGGGCGGGTAAGCGGGGAGACTGTCGCCTCGTTCCAAAATCTTGACCCTTTTTCAGACCTGAATTCTGAATGATGTACTGGTTTGCAAATCCATTGCCATACAGTGCAACTATGCTTCGCATCAGTAACAAGCTAAAGAATCGATCAAATTAACCAGGACTTGCTTCAGCTTAAATGATATATTTTGATCACTTCTCAGTCAATTATCAAGAGTTGAAAAGAAAAATAACATCGTTAGACCATAGTCTTATAGTCTTCTCAGAGAGCACCTCCTTTCCCCACCCCACCCCCACAGACTTTGGAAATCGTCATGAACACTCCGACCAAATAATAACCCATAGTCGCTACTGTAGTAAAGAGTATTTGAGACAGAAAAAATTTTTAAAAAACTCTAATTATTCCAGTGAATAATGAATTTTTTATCAGTTTACAGCCGTTTCAAATGAAACTTAAAGCATTCAATTCTCTTAAAACCAAACTCCTTTGAGTGAAAATTAAAATTGATCCATTGCAGTGCAAACAATGTAAGAAAAAAATTTTTTTAGCCAATTTTAGCTCAGCAATAATACTTAGGAATTGATAATGAGAGTAACCTGCGTGAAAATTTTTATCAAATTTGGGTTAACGCCACAGGGCAGCAAGAATTTTCGCGAAAAAAAAAAACTCACATTTTAATTTGGGGAGTTATTCTTCAAGCTGTTCTCATAAGCGATTCTGGACTTTAATAGTAGGGATTGTTAGGTAAAGAAAGTTGTTAACTGGAATATTGCGGCCAAAATATGTTCGGCCGTTCAGTCTATCGACATCAGCTTATTTCAATGACGTCAATAATCCCGGATTTGTGGTTAACTCTATCGGCTGGAAATTTTTGCATGATTTTCTTTTTTCTCATATGTATCATATCATGTGAATTACTTTTTTCGATACAGAGGAAATTTCAATAGCCTTCTATTTCGAGCTTCATTTTGCACGGGCCAAATAAACAAAATGAAATGAGAAAAAAAATTCCGCTTTAATGATTAGCAAATATCTGCAAATACGAGTCGTGTGTGTGTGTGTGAGTGTTTTCAAGCGAACTGCAGTCATCTTCATATATTATTTATCGCAGGCTGCGTTTTTCTTCGAGTTACATTAATCAACATTTCCTAATCAATGACAACCTTTCTTCTGCATGTTGTTCCAAGAACAAGACTGCATTCTGTTTATTATTTCATGTTTTCTGTCCGCTGCTAAACTTTTATAATACTTGTATAAGACTTACTGATTATTATGCACTCTTTCACGTTAGATGTATGCTTTAAAATGCTACAGATTCTTTCCATTTGTAATGAAATATCGAGGTAAACCTCACAAATATCCAATAACCTGAAATTAGAATTTTGATCTCGGGTAGATAAATCAATCGAAGACCTACAAGGGAAGATTCCTCCATCTCGTACAAAAAACGGTATCTTATGAGGGCAAAGTGGCGAAATGCTGAAGTTGTTGGCAATTTTCAAACTTATTTTGAGATCGGAACTTCGCGGTCGCCTTCCACGGAGTTGTTATTTTAAACCTTGCATAACATGCAAGTAAAAATTGGCTTTTGACTTACCTACTTTAGTGATCTCTCAACTAATTCGTTCAACTACGGGAACCTTTGGGTTTCCCTTTGCTTGTTATCTTGTTACACGGTCACTTCAAGCAATCGAATTCTTTGGCGGAGAAGAAATTCAGGCCATTGTTGGAGTTTTGTCGACCCGCTTAAAATCCCGTCACCTGTTTCAATCAATAATAATAAGAAGAACAAATGCGATCATATCGCTAAACTTGCAAACAGCTGGGAGGTATCAACATAAATCACAATACAGAAGTTTCTATTCACTTTACACGACGCTCGGTAACTTAATTACGACTGGTTTTCAAAAGATCTTTGAAATAAGAATTTTTGGATTCAAATCAGTGAAAACTGCTACAACACAGAAAATCTAGAAATAAAGATTAACATCTGTGGGAGGTTGAATGGAACTAATTTTGCTCGGAATAGGAGTAAACAAGAACCATTTTCTGGCGTGGTTGATAGAAAGAGTTATTACAATTCTGTTTTGTTCGATCATTTAGATATTTTTGTACATCTTTCAGTTTCAGAGTTAAGTCGTAAAAAATGCTATCACTCAAGGCTTATTACGAAGGTTCAACAACGAATAAACAAAATGGACGTAGAAAGTTTCAGCTTTAACTGGAGTTAAGGACTTCTTAAAAGTCCTCTTCTGCAGTTCAAGTGAGAAGTTTATTTTGCTTTTACGACCGACCTGGGAGTCTTTACAAAGAATTATTGACCTCGGTTGCGTTTCACAAACAGAAGTAGCGAGGGATGGTCGCGAAACGAGGTTCATAAATTAGGTGTTTAATGAATTACTTTAGGGAGTGATGCGAGATATTTGTTAGAATAATTCATGCCCGTAAATCACGATAAAATGTGATGGATCACACGAGCTATTCTCACTAATTTAAACACAGAATATCGTGTGTTTTTTTTTTTTTCATCACAAGATTATTTTGTTGTGTAAAAAACATATTTTAAGTATTGGTATATTCCTTCAAGGCAAAGAGCTCGTTAGAGAGGTCAAGCGTTTCATGTTTAGTCGCAAACAAATTTTCGTCTTTTCTTAAATAAAGCGATAACTTTCTTACAGTTCAATAGCTATAGCGCAATTTCTAACGAAAAATAAATCAGGATCATCGAAAAGGGGAAAGCTAGCATTTTGTGTCATGCGATAAACTGGATAATCGTTACGTACATACATGCGTGGAGAATGATATACATGGTGCATATAGAAATGGAATTTCTGACAAGAGAAGTCGACTTCATCAGTGAATGAAAAGGGTGAACGCCTGGCCACTTATTTATCAAAATGACTGAGTGGCACGAAAGGTGAGTAACGCGGTGTCAGTAACTGATTGGCGAGATCATACACACGAAAAAAATTAATAATAGTGATAATGAAAGGCGTTTCGGTTCATAAATTGACAAGGATAACAAGTTTAGGTTTTAACTAATAAGGTCCCCAAAAAGGGATGAAAAACTTACTAATCAAACAAGGTTGACCAAAACTACAGCTTAGATCAGGCTATTTCAGGAGACCTGAACTCCAACGCAACTACCACGCTGAACTAAAAGGCATTAGCTTTGATTTCTGCTGATCAAAACATCTTTTAAATAAATAATAAATGAATAAATAACTTTATTTAACGAGGGAAGCACTTTGCAGTCGTAGACTGAGAAACCTGTTGCCCCCTTTTCAAGGTAAGCCGCGAAAAAAAAAATTTTTCCCATTTCAACAAGTTGCATATGGCAAAGTGGGAAATACCGTTTTGGTTAAAACCTGCGTTTTTTGGGGGCGTTTTAACCTCTTGACCTTCAAAAGAGTATGCATCTAATTTCTTCTTACAACATCAACCCTGAATCACTCACTAAGATCACGAGAATAGCGGGAATAATCACCGACTAAAGAAGCTCTTGATTGTTAATCAAATTCTCCTTTTCAGCACCTTAGGAAATGTATAGAGAAGAGTATGGAGAATATGCATACTGATGTTAGGATGGGAAGGGTTGATGGACGGTAATTTCTTCTCCACTTCACGTGAAGTCCGAAACTTGCAAAAACAATTTTCTGCCTAATCGGTGGTGATTTTTTTTTCTCTAGAGACAATTCTTTAGATTAGCTGATTTTCAATAAAATTAGAGCCTACTTTCAATTCTATCGGAATAATCGAACGGTTCAATAAACTGTTTCGTTTTCCAAAGACTTCGCGCTCATCAAAGTGGGTCGGTTGGTTGAGCCAAAAAAATAAAATGGGAGGGGAACGAAAAAAAAAAGAATTTTCCGAGAGAATGTGATTTGAGGAAAAACTTGCATTGACGTGTTCCCCTGTTAATTGCTGTCTTTACCCAAGGGCTTCCATTCGAAGGCACTGGCTGGAAAATCAGATACAAACCACTTTATTCAAAAGAATGACACCTGCTGTAGAAAAGTTGTTCAGTCATTTTTTCAAAGGAGTGTATCCGGAATTTTTTCTTTTCGTAGCTTTGTCAAAAGAGAGATTCGATTGGGCAATGATGAATAAAATGAACCATTTTGAGGGGATTATCTTAGATAAAAAAATGACGACTATCAAGGGTATGAAGATAACTGGCACCCTTAGGAACGCTTCTGACCTTCTCATTGTCGCAAACTTTTGAACGTATCGCGCAGAAATGTCTCGAAAGCAACTTGTTTATGAATTCCTTCACCAAAGTTTTGTCAAAGTAGAGCTTCTCGAAGTATAAAGATAAACAACCCTTGTAAACTATGACCTCCTCATCGTCATTAGCTCTCATCCATATCACAAAGAAAAATCTCGAAAGCAACTTGTTATTGAATTCTTTTGCAGAATGTTGCGAAAATAGAACTCCTTGCTTCGAGATAATTGTGTTCATCGCAATAACTGCCTGCTTTTATCTTGCTTATGGCTAGAATTCATGATGCTATCAAACATTTCGGCGCAGATCTTCCAATTTTCGATGGCACTTGAGTTGCTAAAGAGCGGTTTTCGCGAAGTTTTTGTTCGAAACAATTCTGAAATAAGCCTAATTGCTACACAGGCTACGCAATACAAAACAGCATTTCACCCAAAAGTTCATCCCCTTCAGCTGGTTCAATGATCGTTTGACAAGAATAGATTCTCGCCTCCTTTGAAATCTCTTTTGCCACAAGAATGTGTTACTGACATTCGGTTATTTTTTATTTAGGCTGTCATGGATAAGCACCTTGACTTTGCAAAATCTTTAAATTGCGTGCACAAAAAAAGTTCACTGGACATTTAAATGCCCGATACGAATCATTAAGCCTTTTGCTCATGCAAGAAAGCGTACATCATTGAAATTCCAGATTAAATACCGCACCTTTTGTTACTTTAGTTCATTTTCAAACACATGCCGATCACTTTGGACACAACTACTGTGCAAATATTTCAAGAATTATAACCCTGCTGGTAGAATATGCGAGCAAATGACAATTTTTGGGAAAAGCAGATGGGATAAATCGAAGTTATAGAAAACAATCAGCTAATTACCATATGAAGTTAATCGAAACAAAACGCCCGAAAGCACGATATTTTAAAGCTATTTGAAGCGATATAAGACTGTATGAGGGAGATTAACTCACATTAGAAGGTTCTTAGAGAAATGTTTAATTGTTTCAAGGCTTTCTTCGTTAGTTCTTAACTAACGCTAAAACGCGCCGAAGTTTCTTTCCAACAGGACATATTTAGCATAAATTATCTCGACAATTCTTGGCGGGCGATTCTTCAAAAGAAAACTCGCAAAAAGAAAACAACTTCCTCTCCAGAAGCTCTCATTAGTTTATCAAAAAGCGAAAATGAAGAATTAAGCTTCAGTTTTTCATATCTGCCTAATATCAACCAAGTTGTCTTTTTCAACTTCCTATGATTATTTTTTTTTGCGCTAATTTATGCAACCTACACTAAGTCCATCCCCATTGTATGCATGGGTGAATCCTTCCCGAGGGTTCGCAAACTAGGACGTTTTACGCCAAAATTTTCTTTTCACATCAGTTTAGGACCAAAAACACACCCAGTTGAGTGAGATTCGACCTAAACTCGTTTGAATTTAAGTGTCGCGATTAAGTTGTGCAATAATTTGCTCACAGAGGAATCACTGTTTACACTGGTTAGTCACCGAGCGACGAAATCTGAGGTGTCTTTGGATGAGCTTTTACAGGACTTTGAATTCCTCGCGATTCAGTAATCTTTAAATAAATTATTGAAATTGTCCTTCAGCAATTTACAGGGTAAGCTCAAAGAGTGAATTATTCTATCAGATGTTGTTTAAAACATTTGTTTTTATCAGCTGAGTGATGGTGAATCATTTCGCTTTGAAAACATAGACGTCTCAACAATATATTCAAGAACATCAAAACTGACTCGAATAAACTCGACACTCAAACATGGTTTGCTTTTTAACTCACCTCGAAACGCTGCTTACATCTTTAAACGATTAATGACAACCAAGTAAGCTTTAAAATTCCGTCTCTTACGACAAACGTGTCCGCACTGGGTTAGTTGCTAATTAAGGGAGACTGAATAAATTTTCCACACTTGAACTCTCTTTCCAATGTTCTTTTGTAGTTGTAAGTACCTTTTGTGGTCTTCTTTATAAATGTTCAACTCCCTAGGGTGAGCCTAAGGAAAAAATAAATAATAATAATAAAAAAAAATAATAATACAGGGAAATTTTTAAGGTTACTTTTGTGAAAAAACTGGTTTAATTTTGTACAAATGTATCAAACGAGTTGTTAAGAATTTTGCTCACTTTGGTTCGACAGAAATATTCTTTTTCACAGAGACGGATGATGGATAATTTGACATGATATTAAAAAATTTAAATACTTATGTATTATAACTGCTTTGGCGATTTTATGGTTTATAGCAAAATCAAGTTCAAAATATTATTTTTCTTTTAAGCCATGAGGCAAGTTTGAATCATTGATTCCCCTTCACCAAACTATTTTAAGATTCAAGGGGTATGTTCCGATAAAACTGGCGCTGCGTCAGTGGGGGATATTTCAGGATAACTTGGTTTTTATCAACTGAGTCGATGAAACAAATTGGTCTCCGTAAGGAGTTTCTTTATAAAGCTAACGTTTCAAGCGTTAGCCCTTTGTTAGAGCGATTTGTAGAGTGCTAACGCTCGAAATGTCAGCTTTACAAATTATTCACGGTGGCCAATTTACGCCAACAACTCATTCGATAAACCAAACTAGATTTAAAGAGTACACCGACGCGATTCTGTTTACGTCAATAGATGAACGTTTCCGGCCACAATCTTAAAAATAGTTGGATTCGAAGAGATTTGTTTGTTCGTGTTCCTGTTTTAAACGAGGAAAGCTTCGTAAATGCTGGCGTTGCAAAATCTCCGATCATCGGAGTAACAACTGTTTGAGACTAGTAAACGTCTCTTTTTCTATGCTTGGGAGTTTGGCAGGCTAATCATTAGATCGGCTCTAAGAAAATGCGGAAAATCACTTAACGGTTAATTAGAATTATTTTTAAAATTCAACAGTCATTCTTACCAAGCAGTATCAAAACTCACGGAAAACGTTTTTCTGGTGATGAAAGCGACCTTTGTTACGAAAATTCACTAAATAGGTCATGTGCATCGAAAAAGGTTGATTTGTTGAAATATTTTTCACTCGATTATTTGTTTCCAAAGATCGGCGAAAAGAATCAATTTTGATTGAAAATCTACTATTTCTAATAAATTTCGATTGCCTTGAACATGAAAAGTAGCAGTAATTCTTAATTATTTAAACAGCATAGTTTATGTTAGCGGGCATAAATGACTCTGAGTCGGGTCCAAAACATATTTATGCCCTCGAACATAAACTCCTTTTTTTTTAAAGTTATTCCAATTAGTAATTGTTTTTCCTGTGTGCACTGTTTCTGTTGTTTACATTAATTGACAAAGCAGACTGCAAGACTTACAAATGGTTTTTGATTAGATTTTGATCCGTGTAAAGCTCCCTGAACACGACAACCTTGCAAAGTTTACAAAGACCAGTGCACTTTGAGAAAGGCGAAAAAATGCAATTGATTCCGCTCTCAGATAGAGGAACTTAATGCTCATGCCCTGATTGTGTTCATGAAAAAATCAATTACCACCATAACTACAGTCAAATAAAGAAAAATTTGCGCGCATTTCCAGCATATTTTGGCGGGAGCAAGGTATAACCATGAATGGCAGCATCGGGTTTTACAGAAAGACATTCTGTAAAAGATTCGAATAGAATCATTTCAAAATTTTCACTTAAATGTTTGAAAGAAAATCAGTCTGTGGAAATTCAGAGGTTTATCTCAATGTGGGTTTGATATTTTAAAATATGCGTATGAACTACTACCATAAATATTTTGCATAATAAATTGCCAAGTAGGTGAAGTATTTTTAGTCAAGACGGTGAATTGTGGTGATATTGGAAATTAAGTCTTTTTTTTTGATAGACTCCAGTAACGAGCAATAATTTTAAGTAGACACTTCTTATTTTGCTTGTTTTAAAGCTTACCATTAATATGAGTTACTATGAAATTGTTTTTTATTCTTTACGCATCAGTAGTCGTGAAGCAATTCCGTGTAGGAAGCGACCGTTTTAACATCCATTTGAGCATGGAAGAGTTTTAGCTGGAGCACAAATGTTACTGCGAAACTAAATCTATTATTTTAGTTTTCAATAATCACAATTTGCAAGCGAACATGAATATCCACTTACAGACAATTCCGTTATAATGACACTGCAGATTATAGCCAATTTTCAAGGGAGCAAGTTTAACAGCCACATACTAGACGTGTAAATATCTTTAAAACGTTAATTCTATCAAAATGCATTAAATTCTCACCTTAATTTGTACCGTGGCTCGTTAATTCGTACAAACTGAATCAAAGACTTTCAAAACTGGCGCCATGTTTTGAAGTTGTAACATCACGCTTCAGTGAAGAAGCCTCGACGCGGCGCATTCAACGCTCATAAATGAATTTAAATAAGTATCAAAGACTAAAGGCAGTTCAGAAAATATATATATTACCAAAAAATTAAAGTGATGGAAGCCTCAACGAGAAGAAGCTGTAGTTTGAATATTGAAGACGATATATTTCCTTTTCTTTTTGACACGGTTAAAAAGATGGTTTAATTTCCTTCCTGTTTCGTCGGAAGGAAATTGCTCTAAACCTATATCGGATACTTACTTAAAGTGTTTGGAGTTGCATTTCTCGCTATTTCAATGCCGAGAATATTTCTCAGTCAATCGATGATGAAACCTCGAATTCCCATGAACAGGTTCGCCTAAACGGGTTTGGTAATAAAGGAACAGAAGAAAAAAACGCACACACACACACACACACACTCACACTTGCAATGGGACGCTGAAATTCATGGATAAAAGCCATTGCTATACCAAACACATTGTAACAATACATTGCGTCATTTTATAAATTTCCAATTCGCTCTTATTTTGCACCATGGGTATCTTAAGTTAAAAGTTTTTTTCTTCCGGTTTACCTCCCTGAGCTAAATCGATGCCAGAAGTGTAATATCGATATTTTTAAACAATAGAACTCGACAAAAGGCCTTCCCGGAAGAATTAACTGCCATAATGGAATTCAAAAGGTTTATTTTTTTTTACTCCAGGTTTCCATATTTCTCTGTTCAAAAGACGTTTTGGGATAATTTTCCCAATTCTTCTTAGAGCATTTAATAATTGTGTAAATTTCTGGAACATATGACGTTTGTGAGTCAATGTTAGCGACATTCGGATCAGCACTTCCTTGTAAAAATAACACTTAATGGAAAAACTTTTTTCCGAACTCAGCAGGTATTATTTTACGCCAGATATAAGAAACAGTATCGAAGAGAAATGCTATCATACGAGACAGAATTGCCTTGTTTTGATCGAAAAATGAGCTATTTAGAAAATGTTTTGCTGGTTGCCATAGTTTTAAACATCGTTCAATCAAGTGAATCTTTGATTACATCATTGCGAAGGGTTCTGCCTTTTATGAAAGGAAGCTCAATAGAAACTAATTAAAGAAAAAAATTCGAAGATTAGACAATTGTTAAGTCCGAACAAAGAGCTGGTTTGCTAATCTACTTTGCTAATCTGCTTTACGGACTCAGTAATATGCCTCTTCCAATGTACGCCTCTGTGAAGTATTGGGCACCAATTTATTTTCAAATTTCTCAACCTTTCCAAACAGCTTTACTCAATATTTAGCTTTAAAATTAGACAAAAATTTTCTGTCCTAACTACCGCACTCATATTATAAGAACATGATAACAAGGAGAAATTGTAAGAATCAATGGACCTTCGCAATGACGTAATTTTCTTTAATGCGCACTCTCCAGTGCTAAGTTCAACATGGCGGAAGAAGATATGTTCTTGGCATCAACCTCGAATATGTTATGGGATCCCGTTTATTCCAAGGACTGGGAAAAAGAAAGTGTTACACCGCAGTGTGTTCTGAGAATCAAAAGGTAAATTCATGGTTTTATTGTCCAACTGATTCTGTACACTGCTCGATTAGGTGAGTTGACCACTTCACAAATTCTCAACTTAACTCAGGAACAGGAAATTTTTTACGACAGTTAGCATCGTAGAGCATTATTTAACTCACTGGGGCATGGTTCGTCTTTACATCCCTTTATGCGGTTCCATATAAGTTTAGAATAATTTTCGGTAAATTCTCTTCACCTTTACAGCTGGTAGAGGAATTAAATACCGAATTATTTACTTTCGACACTGAATGACAAGTCTTATGTTTCGAAAACGAGCTTATTGTTGCGTTTTGGAAAGCAAGTTATGAAGGTACCCTCTCGAAAAAATCAGACTTAACGAATTTCTACGATAAACTTGTTCAAGAAGTTACCATATCTGTAGCATTTTTACCATCAGACAGTCACCTCACAAAATAATATTTTTGGACCCTAATTTAATGTAGAAAAACAATAAGTTGAAAAAGCAATTTTACCCTGTGTCTCTGATTCAGATTTTGATAGTTTCTAAACATATTTTAGCTTTCATTTTACCCGAAAGGTCATGAACTGGTTACCACTATTGGACCACAATTTGTTTGTGCACCTCTCTGGGAATTTGCTTCTCCCAGCAACGACGTGTGTATTTAATATGGATAAGTGTTCCTGTTACCACACTTGCAGTCCAATAAGCCTTTATTAAGTTGCATGTAGCCCTGGTTTAATATGAGAGTCAGTGTTAAACTTTTGATTTGAAAATGATTTTTTATGAGCAAATTTTGCTCAATTTTTTAAGATAGCTCTTGTACCAACCAGCTTCATTTTCAAAGTGAGGGTGTTTTCAACTTAGAAATGGTCACAAGCATCCCCATTGGGGTTTTTACAGTGCAGTCAGATATGCATTTCAACAATAGCCCCAGTGTACCTATCTCACATTTTTGACACTATGTCATATATTTACAACAGCTGTCTTCTTCAATGTCTTTCCACTGCACTTTCAATGGTACAGGTGAAGTTCTACTCATTCAGATTGTAGGAAGATAATCTAGCTGGGTGTTCTTACTTGGAACTACCATAAATGTTTAATGAGCTCTAGAGGGCTTATTCATCTCCAGGGTTTCTGAACAAAGGTTTTATTTGTGGAACTTTGAGTAATATCTTGCATATAATTGTCATCAGCTGTTTAGCCATCTCCTCTCTTTTTTTTAGGGATATTATGAGCATTTACAATGAACCTCCACCTGGTATGTGTATTGTTCCAGATAAAGAAGACATAACAAAGGTTTGTACTCTGTCAAATGATGCTGGGTTACACGGGGAGATTGGTATGGAAATCAGGATGTGTGTTTTGGTAATCTAGCATGAAAATTTGCAGGTTTGAAGTTTTGCTCATATTTTCACACAAGCTGTACCTGGGATGCCTTGTATGATAGATATCACTGGCAGGGGTTAACACTAACTTTTCAACTTACTAGCCAAGTGGCTAGTGATGACTTAGATGTTACAACAATTTCAGTTTGTTTAATAGCCAAACTGGAAAGTGGAAATCGAAAACCACCAGCCAAAACTGAATTTCTTGTAGTCTTTGCCTAGTTGGCTACTGTTAGTGTGCAGCCCTGCACAGGTGAACTAGCGGTTAGACCACTGGTCTTGGTCTGATCTCTAGCCAAATCATTATGTTGTGTTCTTGGACAAAACCTTGCTCTTACAGTGACACAATCAGCTGGGCCTCATGTTCCCCTTTTGCATTTTCACCGCATTTTGATGTCATCTACAATTTATTACTGAGCAGACCCACGACAACATGAAATCTATTTGTGTCATCAAGTGCATACAGTATTTCAAGTACTGTGATGTTTAACCCTGTGATCCTAAGAGCGACAAGCATCTGATCTCTCAATATCACCCTTAAATCACACATAAAAGTCACGAGAATAAAGGAGATGATTGTCAACTTAAGAAGCTCCTGATTGTTAGATAAATTCTTCTTGTTGGCACCTTAGGAAATATTTGGAGAACAATATAGAGAATGTGCATACTCATGTTAGGGTGTCGAGGATTAATGAATGGCATTAATGAATAGGTACTGGTAAACTGTCAGGGAAATCTGACAATTATTTGGTGCCACTTGGCAAGACTTAACTATGACATTGCATCCCTTTTGTTTTATTTCACACTCCTACTTGTAAATTTCACATTATAATTTCTGTTTTGTCCAGATTCATGCTCTAATCACAGGCCCATTTGATACACCCTATGAAGGAGGCTTCTTTTATTTCCTGATCCGATGTCCTCCTGATTACCCCATCAGACCCCCCAGAGTCAAATTAATGACAACAGGGGGAGGGCAAGTCAGGTTTAACCCAAACTTGTACAGAAATGGCAAAGTGTGCTTGAGTATACTGGGGTAAGTTCTTTTTTCCCTGTTGATTCAAAATGTTAAAAACAATTACAGGTAGATCAATCAGTACTTATTAAAATGTTTACTGGTTTCTCAATAGACAATCTGCACTGATAGTTTACAATAATGTTTTGATGAATGCTGCACGGCACCAACAGCTCTGTTGATAAAAGAAAATTACATATTTAGTCCTACATTTTTACATCTCCATCAATTTCCACAGTGCAGGTCAGCACCTGCTGAAGACTAGCAGCAGTTAGTGGTCAAAACATTGCAGTAGATGCTAACAATATGGAACAAGTTTTTCAGTAGAAAATGACGTCCTAGCTAAATCAAGATAACAACATGTTTGCAGTTTTATCTTTTTTCAATCAGGAGAGAGCTCTATTTTATCTACTAGAAACTCTTTGTTTATCACAAAGAATACATTGAAGCTTAGCAAATAATTTCAGCTTATTCCACTGAAAACTTTACTTCATCTTGAGGGAGGGAATTTAAAAATCTCTTAATTAAACAACGAGGATTAAAGGAGACAATTAAAAGAAACAATAGAAGTGTTACAGTCTTGAATGTATCTTCTTTTTTTTGAATAGGACATGGTCTGGTCCAGCCTGGAGCCCTGCACAATCTCTATCAAGTGTATTAATCTCAATTCAGTCTTTGTTGAATGAAAAACCATACCACAATGAACCAGGATTTGAACAGGTTTGTGCAAATATAAATTCAGGACTGTGAAATTAAAAGTAGGTAAGGTGACAAATTTTGGATGGCTGAGGTTTACAGTGAGGGACTAGGTAGGTACATGATTAGTATGCTATAGTCTGGACCAAACAATTCTGTTTTGAGCGCTCTTAAAATGTATTGGTAATACACTTGGATGTTGAAGCTATTCACCTTAAGAGTGACTTACATCCAATTTTCCCGACAGTCTTGCTGCTGGATCAAGCATTTAGGTCATGAGAATAAAGAAAGTGATCACCAATTAAAGAAGCTCTTGATTGTTGAACAAATTCTCCTTGTCAGTGCCATAAGAAACATATAGAGAACAGTGTGGAGAATATGTATACAGTAAAAACCCGCAAGTAGGAACCTAAGAATTAAGAACCTGTTAGCCTAAAATTTGCCATTTATACCCCCTATAAACAAGAACCTATTTAGCCTAAGAAAATTAAAATAGGTTCTTATTTTCTAAAATCATATAGTACATTACAGGTACACTGAAATTACTTACTGTAATAGATGTAAATATACAAATTTATATTATTTCCCTTTTTGTGGAGGGGGGGTGGGGTAGGTGTGGTGTGGTGAATAAAATTAAAATATAGGACAATTACCAACTTGTTATGCAGGAGTGTTTTTCTCCAAGAATAAGAACCTGTTTTAAGAACCTAAATAGCCTAAAATTTTGTTAAGTACCATTTATATAAGAACCTGTTTAGGGTAACTCCTAAAAATGTAGGTTCTTACTTGTGGGTTTTTACTGTATACTGATGGAAGAGTGTGAAGGGTTAATGTCTTGGCCCTGGTTGTTCAAAGGTTGGGTAACGCCAGCCAGTGGATAAATCTTTATCCAGTGGATAATGTAGAACTGTGACATTTTGTTATCACTTATTTACTGAATAGCAATTTATCTGTTGGATAGTGTTATTCACCCTTTATACAACTGCACCATGGAGAGTGTGATAAACCTCAGTCCCTTTTGGTCTGTGTGCATATTTAAATTCATCTCTGTACAGTATAAACATGGGTTTCTCACTTCAGCATTGTGGACTTTTTATAGGAAAGGCAAGCAGGGGACTCCAAGAGGTATAATGAATGCATCCAACATGAAAGCCTCAGGGTGGCCGTTTGTGACATGCTGGAAGGCAAACTAAAATGTCCATCAGCACTCAAGTAAGTCTTTTAACTTTTGTCATCCAGGGTGATAAACATCCAATTTCTCCCAACAATATCATCCCTGATTGAAACATTAAGGTTAGGAGAATAAAGGAAACGATCACAAACTAAAAATACTTTGATTGTTAAGGCAAATTCTTCTTGTAAGCACTATTGGAAATGTCTAGAGAATGGTGTGGACAACTTTCTTACCGATGTTAGGGTGTAAGTTGTAATTGCTAGAAAGAAAACTTTTTGCCTAATGCACTGTAGTGTCAAAGCAAAACTGTAGACCATGTTTGATATTTTTGGAGATAAACTGGGAAAGCAGCAGTGGGGTAATCTATGACTTCTAGGAGTAAATGTTCTTGAAAAAATGCCCTATGTAACATTTTCTCTGCCCACTCCTTTGGTAATGAGGATGGAAAATGGAATTCCACAAAAAACAAACTTTTCTGTTATGTACTCGACTATGCTGACCTGCTTTGTGTCTAAACATGTAAAATGCAGACTGACCTGTTTTGTGTCTAAACATGTAGAATGAAGACTGTTATTCACTTTTAAGAAAGTCGAATTGGTGCAAAAAAATCAAATTGATTTATTGTTTTGATCAATTTTTCAGAGATGTGATGGAGAAATCATTCCCAGAGTTTTATGATTATTACTTGTCAGTTATCAATGACAACTCACATCTAAATGGACAAAACATGCTGGTAAGGACTAACTAGTAGACATTTATTAGTAATTAACAGCAAACAATGGGTTTGCAATTAAGATTTTGCATTTCATCGGTGAACCAGTGAAAAATTTAAGCAAAATTGGGTTGATCCCAACTCTTGCAAGGAATTGAAGACAACTTTTGGGCAAACATTGGAAAGCCTTATTAATAATTGGTTTAAGATAGTTTTCTTCCCACCTAAAAGAAAGCTTAAGCTAAAATCTTCAATTTGAACACTTTCAAATTTTGTATGGTCATGGTAGACTTACATTTTAACAAAGAAAATTAGTTATTTGTCAAGGTGGGCCAGTCTACCAAGTGTTATTACTACACATCTGTATCACAATCTTAATTCTGTTTAGCAAAAAGCATGCAACAATTCTTGCTAGCTCTGTTTCTGCTCTATTTCCCTTACATCATTCCCACTGTAAATATATTCTATACATAATAGATTGCCTGATGAACAGAAATATCAAGGCCTTTGGTTGTGCTATCTACCCCAGCCCTCAGCTTTGGCAGATAACAAAAACCTTGGCCTTGATTATTCTTGCTATCATTGCTAGACCCCATCCAATAATATCAACGGACAGGAAACCTCATGTGTAAACTACAAACACAGTGCACCATCAGTGCATTCTTTCTTTAGTTACTAGAAATGTATTTTTTTTCCTCAGGATCCCTTTGGAGAGAAAAGAGGAACATTTGACTTTGTTTCAATTAAACAAAGACTGGAGATCATTCAGAAGAAACTTGAAGAGAGAAGGTCTACGGCACAGGGCTCTGATGCCTCGTCAAGTGATACCGAAAACATAGAGGAATCTTAACGTAGATAAATATACTATTTGTACAGTCACACATGTAGTTATAATTTAAATTTCAGTTAAAGGTACAAGTGCATGTTCTGCCTGCTTGGGTTGTTGTTTTTTGAGAGTATTAGATGGCAAAGGTGTTAAAAAATTTTGGACTACACTGCATTCAGTTTCACCTAAAGCCTTAAGGTCGTGCTCTCCCTGGAGTTTCCTAGAATGAACTGTGAGCAGATTTGTTGAGATGGCATAAGAAGTGGTGTCAAATTGTGAGAGTATCAATTTGTATTGAGCGGGGCAGGGGGGGGGGAGAGTATTCTATGACTTGTTCTTCCAACTGATAAAATGTTGGGTTGCAATTAAGTGATGTATCCCAAGTTAAAGATGTAAATAGACCTGTATGGTAGTTATAACAGATACAGTTAGCTCTAGAGGGAAAGGAAAATATCAGGCTGTCTAAATAAGAGATGTACTTTGCTTCCTTGTGGCCGCAAGATCAAGAAAGGTCCATTGAAAATTTTGCGATGCAAACTCATGAGAAGGCTAAGGGCTCATTACTTGAAGTAAAAAGTACTCAGATTGTACTCCCCTGGTAGATATTTCATTTTTACCAAAATGTGTCTAATTTAGTCAAACCACATTCAAATTATTCTATCCAGTTCATAGAATTGAAAGACTGATATAAATCAACCAGGAAGGGCCAGCACAGAGGGGGGGTTGACATGGGGAATAGGGGGCATTAGTCTCCCCCCCTTGCCAAAATGTTATGAAAGGCTTGGCTCTAGAACTCTACAAAAGCTTTTTCTACAGACAGCTGCTTGCAAGTCCCCCCCCCCCCCCATCCCAATTTAATTTGTGCTCCAGTGTCCCTTTTAATTCAGTGTTGACCACTTTACAAACTCAGCTAGGGCAGGGGGGTCTTATTGGGGAAACACTGTAAGTTGGCAAAAACCAAAAAGTTTTAATGCAGCTGTCCTCATTGTCAATATACAAGTAGCATTGTTTACAGATAATGCTATCATATGTTCAAGAATAACTTAACAAATAATTTTTTTTAAAATCTTATTTATGCTTGAAGTACAAGGTCTTCCATTAAAAATAATATTATTGATCTTGAGGTAACAAACTTTTTTTAACAAAGTACTGAACATAAAACTGTATCTGAGCAAGGAATAACAGTGTAATTTTGGAAAACTGTATGTGAACAAACCAACCTGACAGTAAATATTAAAAGCTCTTAAATAGTAAAGTAAAGACTGTTTATGAGCCTAGTGGCCCATTAGGCCGGTGCTTAACTCTGGTTTCTGTAGCATGAAGCGACTAGGAGTATTTCTACTCCCCCCCTGGATGGGATGCTAGTCCATTGCAGGGTTACCCCCAACATTAAACTGCCGGTAGCCATTTACACACCTGGGTGGAGAGAGGCACTGTGAGAGTAAAGGGTCTTGCCTAAGAACACAACACAATGTCCCTGGCCAGGGCTCGAACCTGGACCACTCGATCCGAAGTCAAGCGCACTAACCATGAGGCCACTGTGCCTCCACACAAAAAAGCTCTTAAATATGTACCGAGTACTTTGCTAAGTGCGTTCACTATGAAAGTTTCTTGTGTATGACAGAAAGAACATTTAGCTCACTGAATATTTTAGTGCAGCAGAATGTGCGTTTCTTTGGGATGATTTGAGACGAGTTAGGGAAAAGTTTGCTGGGGTCTTGCACCAATAATCAGTCCTAGACCCCTGCCAGACCTCTCGCTAGCTCGCGTTGCCCCAAGCATACTTTCCCCGCAGGCGAAGAAACACTCACCTAGAGGTGCATATAATTTGGGCTTGCCAGAATGCTAACAGATCAAGGAGTTTTATGAAGGTCCAAAGTTGATTTAGAAAACAGATAGTTCTTTTAACCCTATATCCTACACTAGCTAAAAATTATACACCAATAGTAGTTCTTAAATACTTCATAAAGTGTTCTGTTGTAACATGCAACCCTGTAGTTGCTAGAGATTTGGTACACACACACAAAAAAACAAAACAAAAAAACAGGTCTGATGGGATGAAAGGGGAGGGGGGGTCTAGACTGGCCAACCCTCCTCCTGAATCCACTACAGTGATTACACCTGATGTTCTACTGAAAGTGGTTTGGTCTTAGGGGGGTTAAAGGCCCATTCAGCTAAGAGCTTATACCGATTTCTTAAGCATGAAGTGACCGGGTTAAATGTTTCTCCCCCTTACTGAGATGCAAGTCCATTGCAGGTTACCTCCACTTGTTGACAGCTGGGACCTCGAGTGGCTGCTATATGCTAGCACTACTCAATAGTCTCCACAATTTTTCTTTTGCGGTATTTCGAAAGCTCTAACAACTAGCGCAAAACAGCAGTGAGTTTCCTCTCAAAAACAAAGCCCTTCTTTCCAACTACAACACTCCATCACTTTGCCAAACTAATTAAGTCCTGCAATGATACAGGTTTCCAAACGCCTTGTGTGTTTACAAACACAACTCCTCTGTCAATATATAGCGTCACTTTACCAAGCGAGTACAGAGCTTTTCCTTCAAAACGTCGATTAGGAGTTGGCATGAATATAAGATTGTTTTCCTCAGCCTACAGAGAGAAACAAAACGTCGATTAACAGTTGGCACAAGTATAAGATTGTTTTATCCAGCCTACAGACAAAGAAACAAAACGTCAATTAGGAACTGGCATTGATATAATGTTGTTTTCTTCGGCCTACAGACAAACAGCGATTACATATGACGAAATAAAGGTGTTACTAAGAAAAGAATTGCGAACTTCAGAGCTACGTAAATATTTTTCAAACGTCTTTTTTCCAAGAGCGTTAAGTTACCTTATAGTTGAGTGCAACCACAATATCAGTTTGGCAAGATAGAGATACAATAAGTGCGAAGAAAAAACGAAAAGAGTACCAGGATGCTCAAGGAATGAAGAAGATCGAAGTGGATTGTAAATTATGGACGTGAAGCAATTAAATGGACGGAAATGGCTCACGGGACTTACCAAGTTTTGTATAAGATCTTTGAAGTTTGACGGAACATTCTGAGATGCGGCTAAAGTGCGAGCTGCCTCAGCCTGTGGTGGAAAAGGTTATATTAATAACAAATAATAATAACAATAATAATAGTAATAATAATAATAAGAATGATAATTCTCATGAGGAGAACATGAATGAGAATAAAAACGATAACGATGACGAAAATAATGGTAATTTGGCAGTGGACATTCCACACTGTGGTTCTTCTTGTCTACTGTTTCCAGGTCGCATTAGAATTTGGAATGTTTGTTTAGTGGAAGGAGGGCATCCTAAGGACCCGGAGAAAACCCTCGGAGCAGGGACGAGAAGCAAAAAACTAAACCCACAAGTGACGTCAGGATTACACTTCTTCTCAAAGAATCACCGTCGTTGTAATCACGCAATCCATGGGTATCAACAATGTTATCAACTAGGAGTCCCGCTGATGAAACATCGAATTCTGCACACAACTGACCATAGAAATTTATGAACAAGGTGCTTCTACCTTTTGTTTTTCAACTGCTGCTGCCATGGCTGCCGCCTCTGCTTCCCTCCTAGAGAAGACAAAAGAAAAAATGGATTTAGCACTATGCGGAAATAGGCTAAAGTAGGAAAGTTTCAGGAGAAGAAAAGACGAAGACTAAGGTTTGGAGCAAAGTTATCGGAGGGGCTACTAATTGAAAGCCGTAAAACCAAGCTCATAGTAACAGAGAAGGCCAATCAAAAGAAAGGAAAATGTTAAAGGGAACTTATAAGAACTCAAATTCAAACGTGTCAATGACCCGAAGCGCGGGAAAACGCGGGTTCCACGATTGGTTTTAGATTCATATCTGATTGGTTGAGAAGATGGCGCGAGTTTTCTAGACCAATCACAGAGTGTGTGAAAAGACTTGAAGTGCGGAAAACGCGGATTTCATGACCGGTTTTAGATTTGTATCTGATTGTTTGAGAAGGTGGCGCGAGTTTTCTAGATCACGGAGTGAAGTGAAAGAAAACAACCGCAATCCTATTTTACTTTTGACACTAAACTGAAAACTGCTCAAAGTCAAACCTGACCTTCTCTCAGTGCTGGTGAGATAGGCAATATTCTCCCTGGCACCTGGCTGAAGAACGCCCCCTGGTGACGTAACAGCCTGGTTCATGACGTCAAGTGCACGGTTGAATTGAACTGAAAATAAACAAATGTTGCAAATGTTGTCTTTTGAAACTTTTCCTTTATTGCCTAGCTTAGGTTTCTTTGACCAACATCAATCAGATTGCTAAATCTGAGGGCGCGTCAAACATTAATACAAGAACACAGCGGTCAAACGGCGGCGCAAGCGTGGACGTTTTAATAACCAGATGGCGTGCTTTTAGGTTGCCACGACCAAATTCTCTCACAAGAGTCACGGACAACTAGCCAGCCTGTTTAACAAATCGACATTGGTTGAGCGTGGTCTGTACTCTTGTCGACAACGCCAACGCCAAATTTTCACTGTGATGACGGGTAAAAACCTCGCTAAACCACTGTCGATTTGTTTTTCACGACAATATCGACGTCAAACTTCCGAAAAAATTGAGTCATTCATGTTTTGTTGAGCGCTGACAGAGGCATTGCGTGACACGATGACGCGAGCAGCATTATCCATGCTCTTATGAACAACGGCAAATTGGTCAATCAGATTGCGACATTACTGCCAATAATGGTTAAATTAAATATCGCAAATACATGAAAGAAATAAAATTACTCACCTTTGATGGTTGGATGGTTGAGTAAATCATCACTAAACATGCCTTTCCAGCCTGAATACCTAAATAGAAGATAAATTAAAGCAATATTATTTACAAGACTCATTGATAGATTGACTCGAACTCCAAACAAAACTGTTTGC